TTATTGCAGTGTGATCATATAATGCGAAGTTAAATATTTTTTAAAGTTGATTAAAATACTCGTGCTGATAGGATTCATTGACGTTCTTTCCTGATCTGGTTCAGGCTTCTGCTCTGACTTCGCCCATGTGCATGCTGCATTTGATGGCTTACTCTGAAGTTGATCAACATGTGAAGTAACATGCGACTGTTTGCTGTTAACATCACAAATAAATCTATTTTTAACATAATTTTTCTTCAAACCTGCTAAGTAGTTATCTTCGCTTGCGTCTTTAAAATATCATATTATAGACTGCGACAAGTTGTTGGATCACTTCTTTGTTGACAAATCAATAATGTAGGCTTATTATATATAGTCTTAATTCATACGTGGGAGTGGAATCTTTTTACGTGCTTTTTCCTTTAAAAAAATTATAATTATATTTATATATGTATATATATGTTGGTGTATCAAATGGGAAACTTGATAGAAACTTCAAATTTTTTAATTGCACGGTTTTGTCAACTCAAAAAATCAAATACTTTGCTTTTGTTTTTGAAATTTGCATGAAATTATCAAAATTTTTTAGACTAATAATTTTATAATTTGTCTAATTTAGACTTTCATATGTTCAATTTACAATTATATATTTTTTAAAACAATTTTGATTTTATGTGAAACGATACAAACATCATAATATCAAATAATATCAAGTTATCCATGCCCGCATGAATTGTGCCGCATGAGAAGAGTAGGTATTTACATTTAATTTAATGGAATTGATGTTTAAATTTAATTCTCTATGTGTTTTATTTATAATAAAGATTTATATAAAATTATAAAATATATAAAATGTGTTGAAAAATATTAAAAAAATAAAGGTTATAATTATGCATGACAATATATTATTTTTGGCTAGTTGCCGTGCATACATGACTTTGCTTTTAGATATGAGTCATATATTATATATATATATATATTTATTTATTAGTAAATGAGTCATGTTTTTTATATATGGTGAACCAAACTTGGACTTTTATCATTTATCGGTCACCATTGCCATTAATTACCATAAAAGATAACTATTGGGTTACTTGACTTTGAGATATTTGAATTAATTTATTATTTTAATATAACAATACATGTATGCATAGTTTTCAAATATTAAACTATATAATTGAAAATTTCTATATTCCTCCAAAAATTTAAGTATTTCCACAATAAGCAACAGGATATAAACACACACACACACACACACACACATATATATCCCATTTTAATTGCTCAGCACAAAAGAGTTTTTGGAATCATTTAAAGAGTGTACATAATTAATTAATTAATTTTATGCACTTACAATTATATTTTTATGATATTATATACAAAAATCAAAGTCGTTAAAATAAATAATTCATTTCGTTATTAAGTCAATATTTTATTTAATTTATCAGAAACATGATATATAATTTAAGGAGTAATATATCAAAAAATCATTATACTATTTATACAAATTTTAATAAATTATGTAGTTTTTTATTAATTATTTTAATAAAAAAAACTTAAATAACACATAATTTTTTTATTTAAATATATTAAATTAAATTTAATTACTATCGTAAAGAAACAAAAAGATTAGGATTAAGAGTATACGGTCAGATCATAACTAAACTTGTTACCACCTTCCATATTTCTCTATTCTTCAGTTGCCCGTCGTAATCAACAAAAGCTATTCTTTTGTTTATTATAAACTACTAATTAAATCTCCCGAAAGTACTCGTGAGAGGAAAAGTTGGCAAATTAAGGAAACTAAAACGTGAGTCATATTCCAATGAGCCGTCACCTTATTATTATTTTTTAAAAAAATAAAAAAGCTTCACACAAAAAAAAACAGTAGATTTTTAGTTACTTATTATTAGTTTATAAAATTAAAATAGATACCCACCTTTGCGATTTTATCACTATTCGTGTGACACGTGGAAATATTTGATTGGTCCAAATAAACCGGAGGTTTTAAATATTTTTTTTAAAAAAAGAGGATTTGCTCATATATTTGTTCGCATAGATAAGTCTTTGTTCGCAGGCGGGCAGCTCAGCTCTGAATCAGCGTCCCCCCATCCCTTCGCTCCCGACAAAAGTAAATCCTTGTTTGAAATGATTTAAGTGTTATATATGTAAATATGCGGGTATATGCGCACGCGTATATATCCATATATATCTGTGTATGTATAGTTGGATGCTATTGTGTGCAGTTCTTCTTCTGATTGTGCTTTCGCTGTCCTGAAATCTCTGGTAGGTAAGATGGAAAACTGTCACGGGGAGGTTGTGGATGGACACAACGGCGCGGTATTTGAGTCCTTGGCTAAGCGTGAGAAGCTCATTATCGATACTGATCCTGGGATCGGTGAGCAGTCTCCTCCTTTTCATTTATTTCTGTTTGGTTGTTAAGAAAATGAGGGAAAAAAACAAGGTGCGGAGACCGTTCCTGTGCGAGGTTTTTTTTTTTTTTTTCGTTACTTTATTGGCTTCAAAATGAAGCATTATGCTCTGTGTTTTTTGAGTTTTACATGCATGTTACTGCAGAAGTTTTTGAATCTTCGTAATGGAGTGTGATTTTTCGGTTCATTGATTTCTTTCATTCAGTTCAGAAATTTTGGGATTAAGGAAAAAAAAATTAGAATGAGGAACTCCCAAACAGGCTGAGGATAGAGGAGATTGATATATTTAACTTCGGTGGTGGATTCATGCTAATCTTGAATGGTTCCTTAAGGCTTAAGTTGTGAAAATGAAAACAGAGATGAGTAAAAGATCGTTACTGATGGCACCGTGGGAAACTCTGTCATTAGGTTAAGTGATCTAGGACAAATCATGTTCGTTTATCTACTTTGGAATTTGAGGATAACCTAAACTAGTTATCACATCTAAGATTTAATTACATCACATTACTCAGTATTGAGAAATTCTTAAAATATTTTATTAGATAATTGATCTTAAAGGAAATCACAAAGGTACTTATAGAATGCCAAGTAATTATTTCACGAGTAGAATTAGATTAAGAAATACTAATGCTAATAAAGGTACAAATATTACTGTTTATTATTATAGAAAACAAAACTTAAATAAACTGAAGAACATAAAAATAATTTATAATATAATTCTTAAGTATTAAATTATTACCATGTCTATGAGCCCATCAATTCTATTCGAGTTACGAAAGCTTGCTTCCCTTGAGTTGGTATAATAGGACATAGCGTGCATATGGTATCATGCCTCTCGAGGTCAGCTTCTATGATCTAAACATAATCAATTTGAGGAAAGTCTTTTCCCTTCACTAGAAACTTGTGATAAGCGACACTCATTGCAGTTAATACTTGGTAGTCACAATATCTTCTATCTTGTCCTTTAGTTTGTGGTGACTGGTAAGAAATAAGGAAAATCATCATGAGAAACAATAGTGTAAAATCCTTGATATAAAGTCAAATATCAGGATTAATTTTGCTGACAATCCTCTTCTTTTTTGTGAGCTGAATGACATTGCTTGATGAATGTATATTTCAAAAAAAATGCTTTGAGGAATGCGAGGTGTGTGTTGCTATGTTTTGAAGCTGTTTTGTGCCGTATGATTAATTTGGCAAAGTCTGAGCTAGTGATGGTTGGAGATGATTGGAGGGGCTTCCCAAATGGTAGATCTATTGGAGTGCAAGAAAGTCAACCTTTTTATGCTCTTGGGGGGAGGGGGGCAAATTTGAGGAGATAGCTACTCGGGATTCTTTAGTGGTTAGAATGAAGTGGAGATGATTGGGGGGAATGGGGCTTCTATTTAATGGGGGAGGGAGGTTGACTTTTATCAAAAGCACTTTAGCGAGTATTTCGGTCTATCTGATGTCCTTGAATATGATTCAATCCAAGGTGACTAACGAATTGGAGAGTATTCACTACAATCCTTTGAGGCGATATTGTTAGGAGAAAATATCATATGATGGTTTGGAAAATGGTAAACAACCAATAAAATGGAGTGGTCTAGGGTTGAGATCTTTAACGAGGTTTAATAGAGCTCTTCATAGTAGATATTCATGAGGGAGTAAGCAAGTCTCTAGAGAAGGGTCATTGAGTTGAGATATGGGATGGAAGACATGGGTTGATTTTCTTAATTCCTGAAGCATATTGGGTGGGATCATTGAAGAAAATGTGTTTGGCGAGAGGTGATTCTCAAGATTGTATAAAATGGAAGGTGGGGATGAGGGAGTGAGATTTTAGAAAGGTAAGTGGAATGGAGGAGGGCCTTAGCTTGACAGGATCCTAAGATTTTTGTTGTTGCTTGCATAAGGATGCTGCTGCTAAGTAGTCTTTGGTGGGCACTCGTGGTGTGTTGAGTTGACAAAAACTTGAACCAGTTGGAAATTTCAGAACATGTGAAGTTATTGGAGTCTATTTCATTGATCAAGGTGGATTTTCTGATAGGAGACACACCTATATGGAAGCTGAACTCCTTGGATATTTTCACAGTGAGATTATATTATGGGTATTTGAGCGACTGCGGATGCAAGAGGAAGGACTTTCTGACTAGTCTTATTTGGAGGGTTAAGGGCACTCTAGGGATAACTTTTTTCTCCTGGGGGGTTGCTTGAGAATGCATTCTAACCTTGATAAGTTGATTAGGAGGGGGAATATTCCTGTGAATAAGTGCTACTTGTGCAAGAGGGATGCAGAATAATATAGTCATATTCTTTTGTGGTACCCATTTTAATTTGGAGTTTGGGGTTTGGTGTATGGCTTGCTGGGCATGAATTGGGTTGTTGCTTGTTTGTTTAAGGAGGAGCTTCGGACTTGGAAGGGCATCCGCAGTGATAAAAGGCTGGGCTTATCCCTCTGGCTACTTTTGAGTCATTTGGAAGGAAAGGAATGGGGTTTTTGAGAGTATAGAATCTAATTTTGACATGGTTACAAGGTTTTTGATTGAGGGTCAACTTGCAACAATCTAGGGACCTGATAGGTATTTTGATAAATTTGTTAATAGTTTGTATATGAGTTGCATCTGCTTGGTGCTTGTGATATAATTTATATCTTATTTCAAAAACAAAGAAGATATAAAGTCAAATCTTCAACATTGAGGACCTTACTCGGTTGAGAACATAAGCATTTGAGCTGATCTTCTTGAGAATTTCGTAAGAATCGATGTTTTTGGAGTGAAGTTTCTTACGAACTCCCTTTAACCTTCCAGATTTGATGCATGCCATAACCATACCTCCCTTATTAAAATACTAACTGATTTAGGACAGACTATGGTTAATTTATCTATTTAGTAATTTGAGAAAAACTTAGATATCACATCTTGGGTTCTTAAATATTATACCTAAAATTTAATTGAATCACATAAACATATACTGGGAAGTGCTTAAAATATGTTATTGAATAATTAAGTGATGATCTTAAAGGAGATAAGAAGTTGTTTATAGAGTGCTAAATAATCCTTTTTTAAATATGATTAGACTAAGAAATACTATTTCTAATAATATTAGCAAAACTAGTACTGACAGAGCTAGGAAAATAAACTGGAAAATATCAAAATAACTTGAATAGTATAATTCTTAAATAGTAAATTACTACTATGCCTATGGATCATCACTAAGGTTACTCAGTTACATATCCTGTTATGAGAAACTGATTATCTAGATTCTTGAATAATATAATTCTGATTTTTTTTGCTTGGTTGGACTGAAATGATTTTTGAACTTGATAGTGTGGTTGCCAAGTCTGGACTGTAATTCTCTCTGTAAATAACAGATGATAGCATGGCAATCTTGATGGCATTTCAAACTCCCGAGTTGGAGGTCGTGGGCTTGACAACGATTTTTGGTAATGTTACTTCAGAGGACGCCACTCGCAATGCCTTGCTTTTGGTATGTAAGCATATTAGTTACTTCTATTTTGTTTGCATTCATATATCCTAGATTGGTTTGTGCTTTTATGTTTAAGGAGTACTTCTGTGATCAATTCACATTTTTGATGTGTAAAAGGATAGTGTGAGATAGCAGGGTGTCCAGGTATTCCTGTAGCAGAGGGAAGTCCCGAGCCTCTAAAGGTAACTGTTTACATATATTGCTGCTTCTTTTCCTTCATCGGTTCTTAAATATTTTCTCTACTAAAAGCATATTTTAGGCAAGACATGGATTTCCTTTTTCTGCTAGTTTGTTTTCAGCTCCTAAATTATTTACTTCAGGAATAAACACCCAATTTTCAATTTGCAATTTTTCCCAAATTTCTTTTATCATCTAGTCAGTTTAAATCATTTTTAGGACCTCCTTGCTCTTGTTTTCACCGATCAGAAAACCTCTTAGTAAACATGAAACCCAGTGAATGAAATAAGACCTGGTAATTTTAAGGATTGAATTTATTACCGTTCAGTACCTTACCTTTGCTTTCTTACCTAAGATTGATGTTTCTTCGAAAGGGAGGGAAGCCCCGAGTTGCAGACTTTGTTCATGGTTCTGATGGAATGGGAGAGATATTTCTCCCTCCTCCAAAATTAAGGAAATCAGAGAAGAGTGCATCTGAATTTTTAGTTGATATGGTCTCTGCTCATCCTGGTGAAATTTCCATTCTTGCACTTGGGCCACTAACAAACTTGGCACTGGTAAGCTTTATTATTCTTTCCGTGAATCAGGACTTACCTGGAGATTCATATTTAATATCTAATATGATGATGATAACAGGCAATAAAAAGGGATAGTTCCTTCGCAAGCAAGGTGAAGAAAATTGTTGTCCTAGGGGGTTCCTTCTTTGCATCTGGAAATGTAAATCCAGCTGCTGAGGCAAATGTATGTGGCTAGTTCTTTTTCTTATGATTATTTTGTTAATAGATACCTGTGGCCTGCATAGTTCTTTCTCTGTGTTGCAGGTTTTTGATGAGTGTAGGAAGTAAATAAAATTTTAGCTTCAGTTTCTATTATAATAAAAGCTTCCAAAAAAAAAAAGATTTCATGTCTTGATCTGCATCTTTGGAAAAAGAAATAATTGAACTATACTCAATCAGACCTAGTACATATAAGTTTCTCTGTAAAAAGTTCTCTCTCTGTTTTGATGGATTTTTCTGATTGATTGTTTTGCTATCTTGGCCAAGCTTCTACTTATGCACTTATCTTGCTACTGTTGTTTGTTAGAAAGTCCCTATTTTTCATTTGTTCTTATACAAAGCACAAGAATCACGTGTAGTCTCTGGAGGAGGTCTGTCATGGTATCATGTTCTTTTACATTTTTTATGTTGAAAAAGTTCTGTGAGTCCAAAAAAAAAACCTCAAATTCCTGACGTTTCTTGCAAAATGTGACAACCTGCACTCCAATGCTTTCAACTGACTTGCAGATTTATGGAGATCCAGAAGCTGCAGATATTGTGTTTACATCTGGGGCAAATATTGTTGTTGTTGGGATAAACATTACAACACAATGCATGCTAACAGGTGGAGCCCCATATTCTCGCTTGTCATCTTTTTGTTTTCCTTTTATTTTTTATATCAGGTTTCTCTAGTTTGTGTTAGATCTCTTCATAATAGTCACATCTTCTGTGCATCAGATGCTAACCTGCTCGAGTTGAAGCAATCCAAGGGGAAGTATGCTAAATTCATATGTGATATGACCAAATTCTACAGAGATTTTCATGTGAAGTCTGATGGCGTATATGGTATGCCATGATTTAGAAGTCTGATTGCCTTGAATATAGATTTTCTTATAAGTACTTCCATTGTCTTTCCTTCTCATGGATTTGTGTTGAGCGCGAATGTGTAAACTATGAGACGTTTGGTTTCAGGGATTTTCCTTCACGACCCTGTCAGTTTTGTGGCAGTAGCTCGGCCTGATCTCTTCACGTACAAAAATGGGGTTGTTAGAGTTGAGACACAGGGCATTTGCTTGGGGCATACCTTGATGGACCAAGGACTAAAGAAGTATGTCAACTGCAAATCCTAAATCTTCATCATTATGATTGGCATTCTTCGTCTTACTAATTATCGTACTGATTATTAATGCAGATGGAATGGAAGCAACCCTTGGACTGGCTATTCCCCTATTTCAGTTGCTTGGACTGTTGATGTTAATGGAGTCCTTGATTATATTAATAGTCTGCTGATGAAACCATGAAAGTTGTCGAATTTCCTATCTATCCGGAAACATATAAAAAGAAATGAAAGTGGAAAAGCTTAAAACTAACATTGAATTCATGATTGCTTTTTCCCGGAGGTGTCAAAGGCTTCTAGTTTCTCATGCATTGTCGCTAATAAATTTCTCACGATTGGTTTGTACATTTTTCAACTTTATATGTGGGATGGTAATGAGTTTCTCATGCACAATTGTGGCATCCTTTTATTTCATCTAAGCAAAAGACGTCGGTATGATTCTGCGTGTTTTCTGTAAACTAGACATTGTTGAAATATGTGAATTTCACCCAAAAAGAAAAGTGTTGCTTCTTGAAACAGTATTTTTCAATTACTATTTCTCGTCGAGAGCAAATTTTTTCAAACTGTTAACCTACTCTGTTGGCAAACAAAAGGGAATTTAGATAAAATTGAGAACAAGGCGGTTAAGGAGGTTCTCCCGTACACATTTTCGCCACCCATCTGGATATATAATGTGATACAATCTCAAGAAACTGGTAACCTGTTCTCCAGGTCAATATCTTGTGAACCCAACTCTTCAAATTTGACATGTCACCTACTACCGGATGGTACTGAATATCTGTCTTATTGTTGAAGTGTCATTGAGATCAACTCTTATCACTTTCAAATCAAATTACCGCCTTTCAGACTCAAAGCAAAAGTTCTTCTCTTCTTTCCAATTTAAAATGTTTCTGACCATTTCAATATCCACTAAAGAAAGGTCTCATGTCCTCTTCAAAATATTTTTCTTTAAGAGAAAATTGCTCCAAAGTCAAGTTTTATTTCCCACAAAGAATTGTTATACAGAGGGCATTACTGTCTTTGTATTTAAATTGTAAAGTAATTCACTAAAAATAGGCTAAGCACAGATAAGTATTTATTAAACAATTTCGTAATTACGTGAAAATTGATAAAAAAACGTAAAATGTGAAAAAAAAAAAAATTTACTACTAAAACAAGTACTTAAAGTTTAGTGTAATCGTATAAACTGCTTTTATCTTTTGTTTAAAAAATTAAATATTAAATTTATTTAGCAATTAACTTAAATTATATATCTATTATTATTCGACTTCTATCCGGCTTAATTTATTGGTAATAAAGTTTTGAACTTCATCATCTAAGGTTCATATAAGTTGAAATTTGAAGTACACTGAAAAAACAAGAACAAACCCTAGAGGCAAGTCAAACCCAAGACCAAACCCATTTAATGAAAGCAGTTAACCAACTTTCTTCTTCTTCCCTTATAGTATATACCTGTACATATATATATATATATATATACATACCAGGGTAATCTATATAGTGCTTGATTATTTTAATTTTCTTCTCTCACTCTCTGACAGATACCTACCACAATGAGAGAACAGTTTCAACTCCCGCCAAAAACTGCACCCACTCCAACAACCTTAAGGAAGAAATCTTCTTCTCTGACATCTAACTATGCATGTATATATATATATATAGCAAGTTAAGATATGACCTTTAAGGTGAGGCGTTATTAGAAGATTCTTAATTAGACAATGGCTTCTTCGACAACAATGGCAGAGACGATATCTTGGTACACTGCTTTGTTTATGGCAGCGATGCTGATTTTGAGCAGCTGCGAAGTGAGTGAAAGCGAGTCGGCGGAGGTTGACGACATTGTAGCCGGCGGCCGCCGCATGAATATGGCGGAGAGGCGGCCGTGTGATGAGATATACGAGGTACGAGAAGGAGAGACGTTGCAGAGTATCAGTGAAAAATGCGGAGACCCGTTTATTATCGAAGCGAACCCGCATATCCATGACCCGGATGATGTCTTCCCTGGACTCCTTATCAAGATCACCCCCTTCAATCCCCATTAAAACATATATATATATGTGTATATATATATATATATCCAAATTTCAGTACAATTTCGTTTTTGCTTTAATTTTTTTTGTGGGGTGATTTGAAGGGGAATGATTGTTCTCGTTATACTCGAGAAATGATTAATGAAGGTATATGTAAAGCTTTTACGAGTTTAATCTGGTGAAGGTTGATTCTTGTTTCCAATTACGCAGAGGTTCAATCAAATATCATTTCCGATATTTGGGTTAATTTGCTTTGGCCCCTTGAAAATTCATAGAAGTAATCAGAATCAGTTAACATATATACATACGTATATATATATATATATAAGATAGCGATAAGATTTCGATTCAGAATCAGTTATTATATATACATATATATTTCAGAATCATCAAACTCTAAACAAGTGTTATACCATCCAAGCAATATATTACTGAACCAAAGTAGATTTTGAAAAAAAAAAAAAATTATTTCCAAGTAAATGTTATATGCTAACATGTGTCTCCTTTTATTATTATTAGAACAAATTAAAATGACAAGTAAAATTTGTAAAATACTTATCCATAAATCTATATCAGTTATGTTAAAAGGTAATATCTATATACCTGCTGTACATACAATATTTCAAATTTAGGGCTGAGTCAGAGACCAAGTTGGTGTATATATGATTATTAACCCAAACAATATTTTACTGTGTTTAATCAAATTTGGATTTCAGCCCATTATTTTAACCTAAGTAAATGATTCTTTATGCAATTTTAATTAGGTGAATTTCCAAAATTTTAATTAAGTGCACAACTCTAATTAAACTAGGCCCGTATGAAAGACTATTTATTTGGAATTGGGCTCCTCCATCACAACCCCAATATTGAAAACACAGTATTTAATTGCTAAGTTTCTTTGTACATATGTATATATAGACAAAATTGAGAGTTATTAACTCATTCTACCTACCCAATTAAGTAACATTTTGTTATAGAATCTTCATGTGGCCCAATAAATATAATATGCTCGCTAAAATCTAACATTATTTTGTCAATACAATTCTATTAATACACCATAAATTAAGTTCTCGATCATACTGTTTAAATATTTTATGTCGGCCACACCAACTTATAATACACTCGTAAATTAATAATATGCTAACTAAAATACAGTCATATTTAGTCACTACATTTCTATTAGGACACAATAAATTAAATTATTAATTCTAATGAATTAAGTACTATAATATATTCGTAAAGTAATAAATTTTATATTATTAAATAAAACGTAAATATTTTAACAAGTAGAGCATCGTATTATTGATTTTAATTACCAAATTACAGTGCATTTAAACTTAGTCCATAAAAATCTAATATGAATTAATTAAGATTTCTTAAAGGGATTAATCTTGATTCTCTAATTAGTTGCTTATAAATATCAATACACATACGTAGTTTGATGTGTGTGTGTGTGTGTGTGTATATATATATATATAAGGTTGGTAAATATATACTCAAATTTGAATGTCACATGGAAGCCAAATGTAGAAAATAATAAATAAAGAGCGTATGTGAGTTGCTTTTGTACGATAGAGATTAGACTTCCATATTTTACATTTTTTTTTTAATTTCTTGTTCTTTGTGCCACTTCATACATTTCATTGCCAACCTAATTGAAGATGATTCCTTAAAACTTCAAATTTTCACATCACGAGTTTGTAGCGTGTCATGAAAGAAGTCTCATATTTTCTTTCTTATTATATATATATATATATAAATATTTAAGTTACTATAAATAACTTGGGTTTTTCTTAATATTTTAAGAATTAATAATTTTGAGTTAAAAACATATTAAATAAAAGATATATCTATATATATAAATTTTATTTGTAAAATTTTGTTTAATAACAATTTATAATTAAAATTATTTAAATTTTTTTATTAATGTTTATTCATTTTGAACTAACGTAACATTATATATAAATAACTAATATAAACTAAGTAATTATTATACACATTAACGATATTAAACTAAGCATTGATTTAGCATATGAAGTTTAAATTTATTTTTTATGAATAAAATTATAAATTTTTTATAATGAACCTTCTAATTTACGTCAATACCAACGATTAATTTTAAATTTATATTGTTTAATTTTTTTTTTTAAAAAAACAAAAAGTATAACTCACACTATATATTATTAATATAAATTAAAATAAATATTATTTGTCTAATAAATAAGTTATATATATAAATATAGGTGACATGTCTTGGTCAATAACTCAATTGATTAGCGTTATATTATGCTAAACCAAGTGGCGCCCACCACTGATGTCGGGTTGACCCGGATTCAATCCTCTGAAATAATCTAAATAAATAAGTTAATGATCTTTAATTTTTTATATTAAAATTAAATTTAAAATCTAAATTTTAAATATTAGATGCATTAAAAATTATTCATTATAATAATTAACGTTTCCTAACATGATAAATTAAAATAATTTTAATAATTTATTTCACTGATTTTATACATATTATAAGTAAATATTATTATCGTAACTAACATATGTTTCAAATTAATGTATATAAATTTAAAATAATTATTCTCTTGTAAATAAGTAAAAATATTAATTTTAATGTTCTTTTGTGGTTTAACGTATTAAGAAGGAATATTATATATATATATATATATATTATATAATGGAAGTTGATGGCCGTCTAAACTCCCATACACGTTCAAAAAATAAAACAAACGTTCTTCTCATGATAATAAAAATATTCCCCTTGCAGACATACTTTTTTTTTTCAGAAGTCATAGGATGACCGATCCAAAAGTGACCCGCGGGTGATCATATCAATACCTCCCCCTTCCCCACATGGCTCTCACTTTTTAAGCCAGTACTCGGGTATAGTGTACATATATATAATTACCACACATGCATAAATCTCCATTGCTATCTCCACTTTAATCTCTGCAAATTCCCCCACAAGAGCGCTAAGTAAGCTCTGAAATTTGCACATCATGGGCTCTCGGACACCATTATTCCTCCTCCTCGCCTTCTCTTTCTCTCTGCTTTCTCTTCTTTCAGGTACGCGACCGCCTTCGAGCTTCTAGTTTGCACAATCTATTTCCACATATTTATCATTATATGTTTAATTTATTTTTCTGGGTTTGTCATTGCAGGGTACCATGTGCATGGTTCCAGCCATCATCATCATCATCACCATCACCATCACCATCATCATCACCGGCATAGCCATCATGACCTTGGTCTCCGTCTATTTGGGTTCAAACCCCAAACACTGTTTGTGTTTGGAGACTCGTATGCTGATACGGGAAACAACAGAAAAGCAGTGGCTAGTTCATGGAAAGTTCCTTATGGAATCACCTTTCCCGGCAAGCCCGCCGGCCGTTTCTCCGACGGCCGTGTCTTCACTGATTTCTTCGGTCACTCTCTCTCTCTCTATATATATATATATATATACACACACATATTTAGCTTTTTTATTAGCTTTATCTTTCATCTTGGTATATAAAGCAAGGATGAGTTTGCTTTAGTTTAGAAATGATATAGAATTATTGGAATGGTGGGGTTCATCTTCTGTATACTGAATAGCCAGCTAGCTTCTTACTTTTTCTCGTATACGATAATCTTACGTAGTGGAGCTTCTGCTTTTCTTTCTTTTTTTTTTTTTTTTTTTTCTCTTCTCTGTTTCAACAAATTCCCTCATTAAAAAAAAAAAGCTTCTATATATTTTTCTTATCAACATTTCTTTCCTTTTTTTCTTTGATTCTTTTACTTTGCTTTTTATTATAAGTTTTGTCAGATCAGCATTCTCTTTCTTTTTCTTGCATTTCTTACTTTTCCCTCGTGATGTCAAACTTGGTACATTTTTGTTCTTTATCTCACCTTTGTGTCTATATATATATATATATATATATATATATATAGAATGTACCACAATACGGGTAGCCACATATAATCTTGCTCTAGCCTATCTTCATAATCTTTTCTCTTTGTTTAGTTCACTATACGTAAATTAATCGAAAAAAAGAAGCACATGTTATATAGTTTTTATCGTCTTATATAAAATAATTAATTTTTAAAAAAAATATTTTTATTTGTGTGTAAAAATAATATAATTAAATTACTAACGAGAATACGTAAAATTTTGATGGGTAACTAATAAAAATTAGGAAGGGTAGAAAATAACGCAACTTATTATTCATACAAAAGCTTTGGTTAATTAGTTGTTATGTTTAATTAATAATGGGATTAATGTTAATAATATCTAATTAACAAATGCAGCAAAATCTCTGGGGATAAAGTCGCCGATACCATTCAGACTGAGGAAGTACGTGCCAATGAAGAAGTGGGAGAGTGGGATGAACTTCGCGTTTGGGGGAACGGGGGTGTTTGACACGTTGGTGACGGACCCAAACATGACAGTACAGATTGATTTCCTTCAGAAACTCATCCAAGAAAAGGTCTACACTCTGCCTACTCTTCAACAGTCTGTTGCTCTCGTTAGTCTCGCCGGCAATGATTATGCCGCTTTTCTTTTCAGAAACGGCTCTTCTCAGGTAATATATATACATACATACATGTGTATATACATATTTCTCTCTATATATCTTTTTTTATTATAAAAAGACCCCTAAACTAAAGTCTGCATTTTTTAAAAAAAACTTAAAAAAGAGTGTGCATCCACATAGATCACGCCAATATCATTTACGCGTTGACTAAAAGTTGCCACTCCACTGATGCTGCAGATCGCAGTCTCCTCCGTTGATTGGACCGTCGAAAATTCGCCATTGTATACTTTGACCAAATTAATTCGGTGCATGCGATACCACTTTAACTTTTTGTTTTATTACGTGTGATCATCAGAGCATCTATCTGTCACATGTTCCAGGTCCCTGCCCTCTCGCATTTACCTCGCATCATCTAATAGGCACCGTTTACCTAATAGTTGTCCCACCTAGTGTGCACGTTAAAAACACGACTAACAATTTTCTAGAATGCGCCTAGTCTGCTTTTGTTTTGTAGTGTTTGAAAAGTTTGTGGATGTACAAACGGCACTAAACGACAGCGTTTAATTATTATAGCTTGCTTGAGCTGATGTGGGGTTGATAAAGGATCTCTCGTTTCCAATAGACAAAGAAACAAAATTGGCTATAATCATGACTCGATAATTATGTATATATAGACACACCGGCTGACTCCACTATTCCTGTTGTCTGTTCTGGGTATCAATTTTGATTAATCATCATTATATATAAAATTAAATAATAATAATGATTGAATTATGTTGCAGGCTTTACAAGGGTTTATTGTAGAAGTGGTGAAGCAACTAGCGGATAACTTGCAGAGAATTCGCCGGCTGGGGGTTCGGAAAGTGGTTGTGTCGGGGTTACAGCCGTTGGGTTGTTTGCCGCAGAGCACGGCGGCAACCGCCTTCAAACGATGCAACGGAACGGAAAATGCACTCGTCAGCTTCCACAACGCCTTGTTGCAGCAAGCCGTCACCACCTTCAACAACCAAACCAAAGACAATTCTTTCATCATCCTCGACCTTTTTAACTCTTTCATGACTGTCTTCAAAAACAAAGGAGAACACCCAGGTAAGGTTATCTTCTCTCCTACAAATATATATATATATATATATATATATATACATATGTGTGTGTGTGTTAAAGTTAATTAATGTTTAAGTACAATGTATGTAATTGAGCAGGGAGTTTAACGTTTGGGAATCCACTGAAGCCGTGTTGTATTGGAATAAGTAGAGGAGATTCATGCGGTTCAGTTGATCCCAGCAATGGAGGAAAAAGATATACGCTTTGCGACGATCCTGAGACTGCTTTCTTCTGGGATACTGCTCATCCAACTCAGCAGGGATGGCGAGCTGTTTACTCGGTCCTAAGAGCCAATCTTCTACGAAGCTAATTTTTCTTTTATAATAAGTTAAATAGTTTTTATCTCTATTCATTTCTTTGGCTTTGTTTCTTTTTTCTCTTAATTTGATTTTTGTTGTCTTAATAGTTAACATGTTGTAAATTAGATTAAGTTCAAATTTTAATTTTAATTTAGATTATTTGTGGAATAAAATGATAATTAATAAAGGGTTCAAATGGTCTTCAGGGTCAAGGGTTTATTCCTTACAATTGTTTGTGATAATATTAAGCTAATATTATACTTCAAATATTTATTATAACATATATTATAGTTTATCGGATCATTCTCCCCTTTTTGAGATCAAATAATGTGCATGCATTCTCTAAAAAATTCAAGTAAGAAGTATACACCAGAATGGAAAAGATACGAAATTCTGAATTAGGTTTTCAAAAGGTTTTTGTTTTATAGATTTTTCAGAAATGTAATAGAATGGTTAATGCATCTAAACATTTTTTAGAACAAAAACTTGGAAAGTGGAGAAGACATGTGAATTATTGTGTTGGGTTCGTTTAGCCGTGGTCTGGGCTTACTAACATTAGGTTATACGAATATTGGGCTCCAATAAATTAATTCAGACTTCATTTGTAATGGACTCGGTCCAACATTTAAAATAATACAAGAATTTTTGCATATATATATATATATGTGTGTGTGTGTCTATAATTTATTTAATGGTAATTGTTCTTGCACAATTATTTTTATAAAAAATAATCAAATATTACAAAACATTAATTTACATGATAATCAACGGTGTAGAATTTGGAGACATCCATAACAATTGTGAAAAACAAAAGTTTTGCATATTGCTTTTGTGCTGTTTTATTAATTATTTTTCCTTTAAAAAAAAAAAAACAAAGAAACAGAAAGAAACTTATATTCACTGATTAGAAAGGCACCATCTTCGTTGATTTGCAAGCGAGGCCTTGAGTTCTATTCCTAATTTAAAGCACCAAATATGGAAATTTTTAGTGCATAAATATAAATAATTTAATTACTAAAATTTACAATAAATTTTTAAAATTTATTTATTTATTTTATTAATTAAATTACGCATACACACTACTTATAATACAGTTTTCTAACTATAACATACACAAAGTTAAAATCTAATTAAAATTCATAATTTTTTTATAATTAAAAAAATACAAATTATCTAAGAAAAAAATTATTTTAGATAAACTTATACAGTAA